CATTTTGAGATACTGGGAGAAGTCTGGTTGTTCAGGCCTATCAAAGTAAGCAGGAAAGGAGCCTCTAACTTCAAACCGCAGCTGTTCTCCTAGGGGCAAGACTATCTTACGCGGGGTAACACTGTAAAGACAAAGAATTCTCAGAAACATAGCTAAGGCCCCTGAATCCTGCAGAGGAAAAGAAGCAAGGGCTGACTTTCAGTTTTGTCAGGTGGTTGTATTTGTCGGATTAGAGCTGAAAATTCCAGAACTTAACCTTTTCTTCAAGAGCAGCAACCAGCAAACCTATGCCCATCTACAGAGCTGAAGCTCCCTCAGAACTGTCTTCGCCATTCACGGACCCTGCCTGTTGCTCCTTCGCATCCCAAGAGCAACGCTAAACAACTGAGACAAATACTGTGTAGCCAGAAGTCTAAAATAGCTCCTGTCTGGTCCTTTAAGTTTGCCAAGCTGGGAGTGGGGAGGGTGGTGACATACTATGGTCCCAGCTCTCAGGAGACTGAGACAGGAGGCTTTCAGTTTGAGACCAGCCTGAGCTACACATGCGAGCCCAGGTTGATGGGAAGTGGAGGTAGTAGGGGGGGAGGGGGTGCTGAACTGTGTATCAATCTTGGGTGAAAGTGCTGTACCCAATTATCAGGTGGGAATCTTTGATTCAAGTCTAATGGAGGCCGCAAAGATGAATCAGACACTAGTTAGCTTTCCACAGGATTATCACTGAGGAAGAATGGCAGGTGGGAATGCAGGCAATTGGGAACCAAAAAAGTTGGGGAGGGGTTCTAGTGGGTGTTTGTTTATAGCTTAGACTTCTTGACAGCAAAGAAACATATGATGTAGCAGAAACACAGCTCTTCAGGTCAACATTCTGGGCGAGTCATACAGAATAATAATATGCTAGAAGTTATTTATAAATTCGAAGTGACAGATTTTAAAATATACTCTCCTTGAGCAGAGGATACCGTTTTGTGGGACCCCTGTATCACACCTGATCTCTCAAAAGTTGAAATACGCATCTCTATGACGACTCCGTGCTATCAAGGAATCATCCAAAAGTGAAAGGAAGAGAAACGCTATCTGCTTCAGCCCGTGAATGTCTGCCCACACCACTCTTACATCGTTAAGTCTCGCCGGGGCTCTTCTCTCCTGCCCAGGGCTTGTTCCAAACATTCCTGAGAGTATCACCTTGGGGTCCACTCATGTAGTCTTGCGCTTGTTAAGACATTAAGCCCCTCTGAGTTTCCAGAGCCTCTGAGACACTATGATGTCCAGGCCACTGACTCTCAAGCCCAGGCTTCACATTCAGCCTCAACGGTACATGAGATAGACAAGTCTCAAAACCTTTCTGCTCAGGGTTTTCCCCAAGTGAGGGAACGGCTACCTCTCTCATCTACTTGAACCTATTCTTTTTCTTGTGTTCAAATCTAAGAGAGCCATTAAGCACTCCGCTGCTAGTGAGAAATGTTGGGATCTCACTATCAGCACCACTACCCTTGCATGCAATGGCTGTGCTCTCCTTTCACTTAAAATCCTTTTCCAATTCCACTGCAAGATACTAAAAATAAAACAGACAGGCAGGGCATAGTGGCACACACCTGTCATCCCAACAATTGGGAGGTGGAGGCAGGAAGACCAGGAGTTCCAATTTAACACAGAGAATTGAAGGCCAGCTTGGACGACAGGAGAACTAATCTTCTGAGACCAAAATAAAAGAGAAGACGAGGTAAAAGAAGCAAGCATATACGTGCTACCAATTTTGTTGCATGTGGGTTTACTAGCTCCACTGATCACATACACAACCCCTTTCTCTCGTTAATGTTTTATTTATTGATTAAAACAGAAAATATCAAGGCGGTAACTCCATCTGGCTTTTGGAACTTCTCATTAGTTAATGACATCCATCCAGACGCTCCTGCAGCAAAGCTCAGAAGGTAACTGCCACCCCAAAGGCCCGGGAGAGGGAGTAGATGGTGTCCCCTACTCACTAGGTGGATGAAAGAAAAGAAGGGGGAACCGGGTGTGATAAGACTGACATTTACTGTACCACACACAGGTTCACCCCTCCAAGAGAAGAGGGGATGCAAGACCAGCAACAGATGGTGTCTGCATAGGCAGGCAAGAGTGGCTGAGCTCACAGGCATGCTAGAAAATGAGCTCTTGAGTCAGTAAATAATGCCCCCAAACCACGACGAAGACCTCCAGATTTTAATTAGTGTTCTTCGGCAGTAATGGGTATGCCAATTAGTGTTACAACTCAACATATTTCTAATTTTGCAAATTACATTTAATTTAGGATGTGAGCATATGTTAATGCTTAATAAGATTTGGAGCTAGACCTCCCCTAGGAGGTGGGAGAGCCATAGAGCAAGGAACGTGAAGGGAGGAAAGGAATTCGGAAGTCCTAAAATAGGTGCCCTGGTGTATATAAGCATCATATATATTTCTCCCAAGAGATAGCTGTTCTATGCCCTCTTGTTTAATGTGGGCACACAAAGATATGCTTGTTTTAGGACCTGGTGCTCTTTTACAGGTGGGAAGTCATTTACATTGTACAGTAGACCACATTGGCTTGCTGCCTATGGAGATGAAAGAACACAGTTGTGTCTGAATTTGGTTTTATTAATGCAGCAAGAATGTGAGGATGTTGAGTCAATGGCATGGCATTGGGCCCTCATGTAGTAATGATTAGGAGGCATCATCCCTCCTCAGACTACAGTGGAGCTCACACTGGAGCAGATACCTTTTGATCGTTTTTTCTGCAGCAAACTCCCTTGAGCTAACAGCAAACAGACTGGCGATCCAATCCAGAGCTAACATCATGATATACTGGCACTCGGAAAAGCTCTTAATTACCAGAGTTACCCAGCTCACAGAAAAGCAACAGATAATGAGGGAGGAAAAATGTGATACCACTGTTTCCACCCCAAATGACTAAGACTAAAGTCAGGATAAAGGTTGCTTCGTAGGGTAGGCCCTGGGTGTAACCTGGGTCCTTTAACGGTAGCATTAGGGAGGGATGAGGCTAAATCTACGAGTAAGCCAAGAAGGTTGCTATGGTTACATCTAAAGCGAGAATTCTCACAACAGGTCTCCACACACTCATGTCAGTCAGACACGGTTACTGGCTACAGGCTAGCCTGGAAGCATCCGTCCGCAACCGCAAAGATATGGATGTTCAAGAGCTGAACTAAAATAATGAAAGCAAGAGAGCAAGCCTGCCAAGTGTGAGTCTAGGACTTCATGGCAGCCTGGGATACAAGAATCCAGTGTCTCTGTCTTCAGCACCCTTTCCATGAAGGAGAGAGCACCACCGTACAGAATACAGAAATGCCAACCACTGTTCAACATTCATCCCCTGATTTACATCACATGAAGTCTCCTGTACTTAAGGTCAAAGTGAACTCAGACACGACCTGGCCTTGCTGCACACCTGCTACCGTGTCACAGTGAAGGAGCTGGGTTCCGCAGATCTGAGAGAGGCAGTATGCCATGCAAGGTGAGCTTGAATGCTGGCCCAGAAACCTAATAGGCCACATCAAAGCTTGCGCCCAGCTTCAAATACCTTTGAAGAAGCAGGATCCATGGAGAGTACTACAACCTGGAATGCATCTCACAGCCCCAGAGGGCACAGAAAATATATTCATTGGGTTGTCTGGTATTTAACCTACTTCTTCATAATTAAATGAAGACAACGAAACATTTCTAGTTTCAGTCCCTTAAACAAACTGAAGATTTAACAATAAAGAAATGGCTAACATATATAAAAGTTGTGATCTATAGCCCCAAAACTGCAGGGCACATTCTCACACACTGTCCCCCCAGATCCCAAGCCTGACACGCAGGGGTCACTACTCAAGATGTTAAAATTTTAACAAACCAACGCTCAGAAATCCAAGCCATTCGGACAAGAAAATCCAAGATTAGATTAATACTTGGGTGATTCTCAACGCTCACAAACAGTTCACACAGGGGCTGGAGCAGAGAAGTGCAACTTCTTCGAAGACTTTTAACAGAAAGGTTTGAAAATCAAATTTGGAAAATGATGAAAAATGTGTTCCCAAGTTGCTATGTCTTTACAAACCTGTGCCTGGTCAACTAGGTAGTCATCTCAACTCTGCCGCAACGTCTCCAGTATTGGCTAATACTTAACAAAGTTTAACTTCAGTAGAAGTAATGAAGGTAATAACCTGTACTCTACTTTAAATCTAGATTGCACTTCTCAAGCTAATTAGACTGCTTGCCTGTCACTAACGAGCCTCCTCTCCTCCCTACAGAATCAGGGGACTCATCTGTAGATTGGGAACCTTGGCTCTACTCCATTAGTTGGTAGCCGTGATATGATTTAAAGTCAGGCCCCTTGGCTTCCGACCAACACTACGCATGATCTTTTCAGGGTTGTCGTCCCAGACTCTGCAGTTTAGAACCTGTCCATTTCCAGGGAGTGTCTGTGCTTATTGGGGCAGTCTCTGGTGCTCTCCAAGGGAGCCAAGGTCATGTCCACAGGTCGTAGTCAACCTCCAGCAAAGAAGCATCCTCTGGATGCTAGAGAAAGGAGACTGCCTAAAAGACCCAGGAGAATGGCAGGACTCTAGTCGGGAGACCACTACTCCAGAAACTAACCGGCTGTTTCCTTGTCTAGAGTCTCCTGGATGTTTCGGTCTCTGTCTACATATTTCTTGATACACAGTTTGTATGTCTTGACAACTCCTGTTTTCACCTGGACTTTGGAATTTCCCAGATGATATTTTTGCACCCTGGCACTTCATTTAACACCTGAGTTCTCAAGGAACTCTAGCTTTTTCCTACCTCAGTCCCACCTCCTCTTTTCTATTCTTTTTCTTCCCACACAACAGAAACTACACTGTTTGTTTCTTGAGAAAGCTACACAGCATAAGACCAAGACAATTCTAGATCTAAAGAAAAGGAAAATCTGTAATTTTTCATGGAGAAACAAATAATTTTTAAAGCCTGTAGAACCCGACGGACCAAACAGTCTATGAGGTGGTGGACAAGTGATTCAAAAGCAATGACGAGGAGTCCTTCACCTTTGCCCGCATGCTCATCGCCTAGGAAGGACTGCTGTGTGGTGGAAGTTCAGGCAGCGCCATGGCTGTGGCCGTGAAGGCTGCCCAGGAGCTGGAGAAAGGACAGCGCTGTGTGGTCATCCTGCCTGACTCTGTGCGGAACTACAGGTCCAAGTTCCTGAGTGACAAATGGATGCTGTACAAGGGTTTCATGAAGAAGGAGCTCTCCGTGAAGAGGCCTTGGTGGTGGCATCTACGTGTTCAAGAGCTGAGCCTGTCAGCGCCACTGACTGTGCTGCCCACGGTCACCTGTGAGCACACCAGCAACATTCTCCGGGAGAAGGGCTTCGACCAGGCGCCCGTGGTCAACGAGGCAGGGACCATCTTAGGGATGGTGACTCTTGGGAACATGCTGTCATCGCTGCTTGCTGGGAAGGTGCAGCCATCAGATGAAGTCTGCAAAGTTCTCTACAAGCAGTTCAAACCGATCCACCTGTCCGGCACACTGGGCAGCCTCTCCCACATCCTGGAGATTGACCACTTCACCCTGGTGATCCATGAGCAGATCCAATACCACAGCAATGGCCTGTCCAGCAAGTGGCAGATGGTGTTTGGGGTTGTCACTGCCATTGACCTGCTAAACTTCGTGGCAGCCCGTGAACAGAACCAGAAATAGAACCCGAAAGTTGGGACTGGCTTCCATCCTCCCTGCTGGGACCTCTTGGCTTTAGAGACACCGACCAGTCATGCCCAAGTGCAACAGGCAGCACGAACAGGTGGCTGTTTAGACCAACTGCAGAGGTCCAGCCTCCCTCCTAACATTCACCTTCCTAAATAAATCCTGAGCCTGAGTACCTTAAAAAAAAAATAAAGCCTGTAGAACCTTAGAATTTATTTGTCACAATCTCAGACTGTCATATATTAAATTGTGGGAATAGGAAGACTCATAAAAACAGAATTTATTGTGAAACATAGAGGTATTTAGAAGTCTGGTCTCCTGAATATAGATGTACATGTGTTTGGCATTTTAGAGTTATCATTTATGGTATCTTCTAAGAACTAGATTATATTAGCAGACTAGCTCTACTGAGAAAACAATGTCCCTAATGATAACATATGTGCCATCTTCACAGAGGGAGAGAGCAAACATTGATTCTACTATTACTTATTTGATAGCCACTATAGGGGAGAAAGGTTTCATTTCTAGATTGGTCTGGGGGTAAATTTTATAAACTGTAATTTTAGTGTGTTTGTCTGTGTGTATGTCTGTGTCTATGTGTATATCTGTCTGTGTGTGTGTCTATCTGTCTGAGTGTGTGTGTCTAAGTGTGTGTGTGAGTGTGCATTGTCTGTGTGTGTCTTGTGTATCTGAGTGTGTGTCTCTCAGTGTGTCTGTGTGTGTATCTGTGTATGCATGTATGTCTGTGTACGTGTGTCTGTGTCTGTATGTCTGTGTCCATATCTGTGTGTGTCTGTGTTGAGACTGAAGGAGAGAGAAAGGAAGGGAATACCAGAGAAAGCACACCAGAGGCAAGCGACTGTGTGCCTGGAGCAAGGAAGGAGATGCCAGGGACAGTGCACTGTAGGCAAGTGACTGTGTGCCGGGCTTATCTTTATGGTGCAAGGCAGACATCATGATGTCAACTTAGAACAGCAAAGGAAGTGGGGTGGGCTCATCCCAAAGCCGATACAAATAATGGATGAAACACCAGCTTACAGCTGGGTGAGTTCATCATCTACCACAACTGTAAGTGTTCCAGAATGTTCCCTTTTACGTTAGACATATAAGCTTCTTTATAACCCAGATTTTATGAAGGGTACAGATTTACAGGATTGGAAACTCTGACACAAACCATAAGCATGTCTCCTCTTGCCTAGCTCCTCCCTCAAAAAAAAAAAACATTTTAAAAGGCAAATAGTGGTCTGTGTGTGTGTGTGTGTGTGTGAGAGAGAGAGAGAGAGAGAGAGAGAGAGAGAGAGAGAGGTGTTTTTCTGGGGTTCAAACCCCAGTATTTTGTGGATGAGCTATACTCTCAGTTCTTTTACAACTTTTAATATTGAATCAGCTGTGACTAAGTTTCCCAGGCTGGGCTTGACTTTGCTTTGTGGCCTAGGCAGGCCTTGGGTCTTGGACTTGCTGTTTCGGTCTTCTAAGTGCATACTGCATACACGTCGGCACCATCAGACCTGAGGCCTTTCGTTAACGAAGCTGACTTTCGTTTCCCATTTGCCTCCACCCTGGAAAGGCATGAGCAAGTGGAGCTAGTCTGTGCTACTCGCAAATAACGTTAATGCTTGCGATTTAAAGTTGTAATTGGAAACAGCACACATTCTTTAAACGGGCATAATGAACCACCAAATGCACTTATCACCATTTAACCCTTCTCAAATTAAATGAGCAGTCCCAACTTGATCATTTATTAAGAGACAAATAATGAGGAGACACAAGTGTAGCTGACCAACACACTTGCCTGCATGTGCACAGCCAAGGACTCTAGCCCCAGAACCATAAGAAAAAGAAGAGGAGAAAGGATTGCCATACTATAATGGTGGGCATGTAATAAGTTTGTTCTGGCCTGTACAGTGTACACGAGTAAGCACAAACTCTACTGGAAGTACGAATGTAGGGTGTCGAGAACACATCACTGTAGGTACATCAACTGTGGCATCAGAGCGGCAAAAGTACCACTCTGGTGGGGAACGTGGAGACCAGAGGAGCCTGCGCGTGTGTGGGCAGGGAGGACATACGCAAGTCTCTGAACCTTCTGCTCAATTTAGCTGTGAAAATGAAACTTCTCTGGAAAATATGTTATTAAAGAGGAAGAGAGAAAAAGAACCACTAGGTCATTCTTACCTCTGCTCGTTTGAGATGAAAATACCCTCAAAACTTCTGCCATTTCCTGCCTTTCTTCTTCTTTGCCATTTTTATTAACTGCCTCATTGACAAAAATTTAGAAGTTAAAAAAAAACTACAGATTTTCTCCAGTTCACTATAATTACTAAAATTATTACTGTAAGAACAAGGATGACTTCCTATTCTAGGGAACGGCATAATAAACCTGTGCTCCTTTCCCTGTCAATCAAGAGAACACGCAGAACAGGAGAGAATGAGAGGGTGTTTTCTTGTAAAGATACCCACTTACCCTTGAAACACAGTGCTGCACTTAGCAGAGGCATAGTGGCTCGATAGCTCAGGTCAGGCACCTTCTCGACTTGATTATTCTAAAGACCCTAGGTCTCAGAGAGCCTGAGTTTTTATGTTACCCCCAGGTGCTAGTTTTCTGACCTGTGCTTAAATTGCCCATCCTCCACCCTGTTTCTGTGATATGCCCCATAGGCTGGATTCCCACTCATAAGGCAAATGAAAAAGGGCCTTATTGAGAGAGAGTGTGTCCCTTGAGTTCCTGGGTCTCCCCTTCACCCCAATATTGAAACCAAGGTATAACACCTGCCTAAAGAAATCAGAGCTTACCTAAGCTGGGAGCAACAAATTAAACTGCATTTTGAATTGGCTGGAATATTGCCCATCAATAAAAACCATGAACATAAAGTCGGCAAGGAAGGACATCATGGATCACACTGACTGTGGTCCAGTTTCCTCGCCTGGACGAAGAGGATATCCACAGAACCTACTCCCCTAAGCCAAGCAAGGCTGCTTGGTGCATAAGAAGCACAAGGCAAAGGTGTGCTCCACAGATGACAAGATTCTATTTTATAACACTGCAATTAAAGAGACCATAACGTGCTTTTAATTCTGTTTTAAAAATGAATCTTTGACTAGCGTTGATTTCCCATAAATAATAGTTTTATATTATCAGCTTAGGATCAAAATGACGACAACCTGGTCCTCTTATCAATTCCTTGTCTGTCTTTTGTCTTAGCCCACTGAGACAGCTCAAGAGAGAAAGCAAACAGGGCCCGTCTGCTGTAGCAACATTTCTTTTACGGTAGTTTTCCGGGAAGAGGGCTTAAGTCAGCATAAACTAGGAGGTCTAGAATCCAGACCAAGAGTCTTTTACTATTTTTTATTAATGTAAAGTAATCATCTAGAATGATGGATTTCCTGTGACATGTTCACAGATGTATGTCACACGCTCTGGTCATACTCACCGCTCCCCGTTACTTCCTCTTCACCCCCCTTCCCACGATGGGGCAGGAGTCTTATTTCACTAACTCAAGTGCGTGCTGCCAACCGTGAAGGAATATTATCACATGCAAATACGCCACACATATCAGAACCCCTCCACCGTCAACAGGCTCAGACTCACTTCGAGCTCAGAAAAAGGTGAACTGTAAGACCAGAAATCTTGGTGCAAGTGCCAAAGCCACCTCTGCTGCACACACTGAGCATGGGGTCAGAGCCCATCACCAAACTTACGGCCCTCTGCTGTGTCTACTAACAGTGACCTATTTTTCAGGGCATGGTAGTGAATGCCTTCAATCCCACTAGTCTAGAGGTAGAGGCAGGAGGATTGCTGTGAGCTCCAAGGCAGTCTAGTCTATAAAATAAGTTCCATGACATCTATGGCTACTTAGTATAGACATTGTCTCATAAAAAGTATATAAATAAAGACCTACTTTAAACATACCCTCAATTTGTTGACTTCAAAAAAAAAAACTCTTTCCTACAGCCTACAGTAAGTGAGAGGACTTCCTTCAAGTCTTCATCCAGAAACTTCTGAAGGTCATGTATAATATTTAGACATGTGCTAATGGATCATTCAGATAAAGAATTGCGTGGCTTTAGTCTTCAGCTCACTCACACATTCCACCAGGTGAACCAAGCTAAGAAGCCTTCTGACGTGGTGAAGAGCCGGGACCGAACCAGTTTTTCTTCTTTCCTAACCATTTATTATCAAGCTGAGGTGTTCCCATTCGGAAAGACAAGAAAACTTTGCTGAAGATAAACAAGGTTAGACAAGGTCAAAAAACTAAAGTTTGAAACAGTTGACACCTACCACTAAGACAAATCTGCACCGTCCCTGAAAACTCGGGAAGTCCTGTCAATGACTGGATATAATTCCCAAGGAGCCGTACTTCAGCAGTTATACACCTTGGGTCCCACGTAACATATTTATCAGAAATTATGTCCTGTTCACAGGAACGGGAGGAGACAACACGGAAAAGGCCACAGAAAGGGGGAGGGGAGTCTTCATTTCCCATGAGAACCAACTACAGCAACGCTACAGACATTCCACTGAGGTGACCTGAGGACCAGACAAGCATTTATACCCCAGTTCTCATGGGCTCCACGGATCTTCAGAGTGTCAGTCTCAACACAGACTATTAAAAGTCTATCCACACTGTCCCGAAGCTGGCATGGGTCTCCATTAACACACCTAACTATAGGTTTCATCAAATAGGCATCAAATTATTTCCGAGATAAACATCAGTAGGTGTTAGTTGAAAGGGAGAGGAGCGAGGCCCAAGGTCCTCCCAATTCTTTGAAGTTTTATTTTAGTGAAATAGAAACTCAGCACGCCAGCCCTGAAGATGAGCTGGACAGGAACAGCAACCACGTTTGCCTGAAGAAATTCGAAACAGTGAGAACCAAGGAACTGGGAGATGTAGGGAAAATTCAGTGTGTTCTGCAAAAGAAGAACAATTAAAACAGACACACAGGCAGACAGAGATAGATAGAAAGGCACCTGGACAACGGGTTAGGTACTGTTCACAAAAATATCCCAAATCAAAAACCCACATGAGGTGTCCTGGGGAGTTCTAATCTCTGAGTGATTAGATCACTCAGAGAAAGAACCCTACTCAGAGTAAGACAAGTACCTGACTACCAAATAGGTACTTAAGGAACGACAGTGTCCTCTGTGCCTCAATGTGGCTCAGTGACACAAACTATAAGCACTCCATGTC